GGTGGGATGGGGTCGGCGGGGGGAGGGGGGTGGGGTGGGATGGGGTCGGCGGGGGAGGGGGGTGATGGGCAGGGGAGGAAGGGGAAGGAGGGAGGGGTGGAGGAGGAAGAGAGGGAAGGGGGGAGGAGGAAGAGAGGGAAGGGGGGAGGCTGCCGCCTGCCGGCGCGTGGGTTTGGTTGGAAGGAGCAGGGTAGAATTAGGGTTTGTGTATATATAGAATAATCCAGTGTGGTTTATTTTTTGTTTTCAAAATTATTCTTGAGCAATCATAATCGTGAGATTAAAAAAATAGGAAAAAGATAAAAATGGATGGTGGATATTGATGTAGCCAAGGTGGCTACTAGAAATTTAGTAACCAAGCTAACTCATCCCATGCATAGGGTCCGGGTCGGGCTCGAACATCAGGACCTCTATTTTAGCATTTCAGGTGAAATTGTTTATAATTTAGGAGTCCTGTTTAAAATCGATAAAGTCATAACTATGTTTATAAGGTGATTATATCTCACAAATAACTCTCAGGCCAATTACCAGCAGGGTGGCATAAACTGAACACAGATGGTACAGCTAAAAGCAATCCTGAAATGGTTACAGTTGGTGGAGTGCTTCGAGACCACGACGGAGAATGGATGGGAGGATTTTGCAGCAAGCTTGGCTCTGGTACAACCCTTCTTACGGAGCTCTGGGGCATTTTGATGGGCCTGAAACTTGCCTAGAAAAGGGGTTCTCAATTTCTAATTCTCGAAACTGATTCAAAGTTGGCTCTGCAACTCATTGAGAAGAGGAATGACAGAGTTCATCCCTATGAAACGATCCTTGCAACTATAAAACGACTTTTGACTAAAGAATGAGTTGTTCGATTAGTTTATACATATCGCGAAGGGAATAGAGTCGTGAACTGGATCTTAAAACACAATCTGGTCTATCCCTTCAATATGCATGAGCTAATTGATCTCCCATTGGAGATTGATCAAATTTGCCGCGAAGACTCCTAATTTGGTTCCCCTGCCCTTTTGTTATTCTATTTTGGGTTGTTTTCGATCCTTGGCAGCTTTTGCCTCCCTCTATTCAGAAAAATATCTCACAGATAACTCGAGCAAGGTTTATTAATCACATGTATTGAATGATTAAGTAGTTTTCTAATTCGAATTTAATAATTTCCAACACAAACTCAATTGAAAGGATCGATCTTTAGCTTGCTAACGATGAGGTATAGTAGTAAAATCATAGTCGCAGTCATTTTTTGTAGTTGGATGACTACAACTTCGTTGCAACCGTAGTTATAGCCTCTTTTTTTTTACAAATATATGACCACAACTCTAACACGAACTAGAGCAATTAGTATGATACTAACTTATTTATAAAATTAGCATAGTATCTGATCCACTTAAAGACATTTTCCACCCACTTCTTTTTATTTCTAGATTGCATACGATCGACACTACTACTCTTAAAATTCGCTATGTTGGCAGAGCGAATAGCAGAGTAGCTCATTCATGCTCTAGATTTGTCGCCTCGGCTATTAGCGAGGTTGGAATTGGGAGAAGGATTGACCTGTGGATCGTGTCTACGTGAGATGATGGAGAAGGAAACACAAGAGCGAGTCAAACAAGTCGCCACACTGATTATCTAGATGGTCTTGGTCGAAAGGAACACTCTCTCTTTAGCAAAGCTAAGGTGGAGGAATGGGATGAATTCACAAGGAGTCGGAGGATAGAGAGAAATGAGAGAGTGCAGTGGCCACTTACCTAGAGAAGACCGTCATCTCTGGGAAAATGGAAGGTCAAGCAATAATAGCAATCCAGATTTTGCTGTAAGAAAAACCTGCAAAGAGCTAATAATTTATTCCCTTACAATATAAAATTGAGACATCAATGAAATGCTATATATATGCTCAGTCTATCAGGCTCGTAGCCTTCTGTTGCTTAGGATAATAATGTGAAGGAAAAGGGACCAGCATTTGCATGCAGTTTTCGTGGCTTCCTAGCGGTACCATCTTTCGCCAAACGTCCTTAAAACTCTCTACTTTCGCTTTCCTTTACCATAACTTTCATCCTCCGCAATGAAGAGAAAGGAAAAGTGAATGCCACCTACAATTTTACCTATAGCTACCAATTTCATGAATGGACAATGACCCCCCAGTCCCCCCACATATAATTATTAACCCCAGGGCCACTGTTTTAGCATTGCAGGTGAAATTGTTTATAATTTAGAAGTCTTTTTTAACGTACCGTTTGGTACCAAATGAATCGAGAATTCATTTCGTTTTAAAATGAATTCCTGTGTAGAATTCATTGTCAAATGAGTACCAAATGAATCGAGAATTCATTTCGTTTTAAAATGAATTCTTGTGTAGAATTCATTGTCAAATGAATTCCTGTGTTTGGTATATGCTATTAGCGTTACAATCAAATTCTTGTCGACGTTCCTCATACTTCATGAATTGGCGCCAAATAATATATGTAGAAGTAATTTTGTTAATAAATGAGAATGATTATGTCATTTTATCATAATTGGTAAATACTTGTGGAATTCATTTGAAAATTCCATCTCAATTCCTCGGAATTGCTATAACTAGTTCCAATTCCGTAGAATTCCAAATTTAGAATTGAAAATGAATTCTTTTAAATACCAAACAAAAAAAATTTCATTTCAAAATGAATTCCTAAAAACTTATGGAATTCATTTATACCAAACGGTATGTAAAAGTTTAAACCATTTTTTTTTAAACTCAGAGTATTAATCAAAAGTCACAAACCGGAAGAAAGAAAAGCGCGGGAGTCGACCAATAGTCGAACTCCCGATGAGAGGGCCTTTTGTGCCACATGATGGGCAGCCCTATTAAGTTGACGAGAAACAAAACAGAAAGAAACACTGTGGAAAGAAGATGCCAAGCTCCTAACGTCCTCCAAAATAGCGCCACCCCGAACATGATGCATATCACCTCCAATCATCCGGCGGATCAAGAGTTGAGAGTCCCCATGAAAACGAACAACAAGAAAGGAATGAGTTAGACACCACTGTACAGCATCCCGTAGAGCTAAACATTCCATGAGAAAAGGGTCTTGAATCCCATCATAAAATTTCCCAAAAGCAAACAGAACATTACCTGTCGTATGGTAGCCGACAAAGCCAATACTACCTCCATGACCACTCTTGGTAGCACCATCAAGCCAGACATTGATAAGAGCTGAGGAACCAGGAGTCGTAGGTGTGATACTGGGAGCACGGGAAGGACCTGGAGCTGAAGAACCAGTACCACCGAGTGGCTGAATCGAAGGATTGGGCCCTAACGTCCTCCACTAATCCACTTGCCGTTGAAACTGCCGAAACAGAGCCGATGGGAGATATTGAATGCCTTCATGAACCGCCCAACACCTCCCCTTCCAAATCCGCCAGAGAATGAAAACAATATTAGCTATCTCAATTTTCGAAAGATTCATAGAAAAGAAAAGATGACGCCAGGCCTCATCGGGACTCATTCCTCCAAGAGTAATGCGCAAACCTTCAAGGTCCGCCAGTCTCCACAGCCCTTGAGCTACCCTGCATGTAAAGAAAAATTGAGAAAAGGATTCTGGTTCCCCGGAACATATAGGACAGATCGTGTCAGACACAAAAGTTTTAGTAAGCAAAACTATCTGCAAGGGCAAGAAGCCGCAGACAGCTCGCCAAAAAAAGAACTTTAGCTTTGGAGGAACAGGAATACTCCAAAGAAATTTCCAAAAAGAGTGTCAAAAGGGAGGACCACTGGAGGATGATGAAGATCGTACTCAGAAGACAAAAGATGATAACCTGTCTTAACAGTGTAAAGACCCGAGGAAGAATAATGTCATATCAAACGATCAGTCGAAACAGAAGTAGGGAGATGTATAGACAAAATGAGATCAACACTCTCTAGACTGAACAAAGAAAGTAAGAGATCCTTCTTCCACGAATGAGAAGTAGGGCAAATGAGATCTGAGACTAAAGGAGGGTAAAAACACAATCTAAGCTCAAATAATAACGACAGTTCATCTGCCAAATCAACACAGTGCCTGCCCACAAGATCCTATCAAACTTTAAGGAAGTCACACAAACATTGGCCTACGAATAGATCCTAGCCTTTCCAAATAAGAGAATTTTTTTTCCTCTCCTAATTAACAGATAGTGGCAGGAGAAGCTAATAAGCCTTACTTAATTTTATCCTAATGAGTTGACTCACTCATTTCTTTTATGACACTTTGAGAATTGTTATAGCCTCTTTTTTTAGTCGGATGACTATAACTTCGACATAACCATAGTTATAGCCACTTTTTTTCCCCAACCGTACCAACACGAACTACCACAATTAGTATGATGCTAACTGATCTATAAAATTAGCATAGTGTCTCATCCCCCACTTAAAGACATTCTACACCCACTTGTTTTTATTTCTAGTATGTTGCATAACATTTATAGGGGTGGTCATGTGGGTGGTTAATTCGTGGATTGATATCGATACATCCGCAAATAACTCAACCTGCAAGCAGTTGGTGATTGATGTGGGTGGATTGCATATTGATAAATCTCTCATCCGCACTTACGTGGGTGGGTGGATTGCGGGTCAACCGAATTACCCGCATTCTATTTTCACATGATTTTTTTTGCCTCTTATAGTATCAAATATTCATCATATTTCCGAACTGTACTACAGTCTGACCATATACTTCTAAAGCAGGAGAATAAAGAATAGTTTTGACTAGTATTATTAGTTATTGTGTTGAGTAATATCCATTGGATATTGAAATACAAATTATTGTTAATATCCATTAAATATTGGGAAGAAAACTATAACTTTAACTGTATCAAAATCACAAAATGCGTAAGTTTTCTCTGAACAATTGGTTGATAGAGTAGTAAAAAAATTTATGCAAATACTACATGGATTCACTTGAGAATGAGACAAAGGGAGAAGTGTTTAAATTGATACAGACTTACTAATTTACAATGAACTTATTATAAATGTTAGTCAACTTTCTTAATAGCTAGTTAGAAATTTGCTTTTGCGGGTTAACCCACGACCCAACCGCACCCATCCACCACCCACGCAACCCGTTCCGCAAAAAAATGTGGGTGGATTGCGGGTCACAATTATTCCAACTCGCTAGTAAGCGGGTGGATAAGTTGAAACGAAAACTCACCCAACCCGCCATTGCCTAGTGTTGTCGCTAGCTAGTACCACGAGATTAATGCTTCTTCTCTAACTACTTATTCTACACTTCTCTATAATCCACTACACACTCTCTCTCTCCCTCTCCAAAATGCCTTATATAATCCAAGCAACCCCTCAATTAGTGCACAGCCTATAGCTCTCACACTTCCAAAACAGAAAACCCACAAAAACCCAAACAAACTCTTCCTTAGCATATGGAGAAGAAAGCAACAACATTAATCCAAGTCCCGGCAGTGGAGCTGGCGGTGACGGGTTCTTCTCCGCCAGCCAAGATCAAGATGCCGTCGATCGGGATGGGGACGGCGTGCGCCGCCCCGCTGCCACCGTCGGACGTCCTGGTGGCGTCGTTCCTCGACGCCGTGGAGGCCGGGTACCGCCACTTCGACACGGCGGCGCTGTACGGGACGGAGGAGAGCCTGGGGAGGGCCGTGGCGGAAGCCGTCGAGAAAGGGATCGTTAAGAGCCGCGACGAGTTTTTCATCACGTCCAAAGTTTGGTGTACCGATCTGCATCCCGATTCCGTCGTCCCCGCGCTGGAAAACACACTACGGTAAAAATGAGTAAATAAATCCCGTCGCTAATTATAAGAGGCTTTTTTTTTAACCACCGCAATTTGATGGTCGTAACTAACTTGTGCTGTTCATCATTGGATTAATTTTGTTATGCATCATTATTCATAAAAAGTAAATGAAAACTCTATGATAACCGTACCTTCTAGCTAAATAGGGAATGACAATTTCCTACTCGTTTTACTCTTTTTTTTGTTTTACTTGTGGGGCGGATATTACTTTGTAGGCTAGACAGGAGCGGATCAGGTCAATAACCTTATGGTGAGTAACCATCAGTAACTTGTCCACATCCGCATGACATCAACATCTCCTCTCTTATGGAAAGCCTATTATATTTTCCCCTTTAATCTTTAACGGATGATTTCTCTTTCGTTTTAAGTCGAAATTCAAAAAAAATTTGCACAGATAAATCAGATTAAATGTGCTCTTTAAAATGATATTCACTTTGATATATTTTTAGTACAAAAAAAATTGAATAATTTTTTACCAGCCATTACCATATGGTATGCTCATATTTAATACCATATAGTAAGAAATCGTACCATGATGGTATGAACATACCAATATGATAAGAAGGTTGAATACATGATAGTAGGAGTATACTAACTGTCATTTACGACTTTTATCATTGTTTACCATATGTAATGATCTATGTATAATTAAATGACGAATTTGGTGGTTGATGGTAGCGTAGTAGTGAATGAGAGAGTCTAGTTGAGAGGATTAAATACACACTAGCTTATATTTCGGTATTGATCGGTATTTCGGTATATACCGATCCCAATCCTGTAATCCCTAATACCAAATAACAATTGAAATTCAATCCCAATCCCACAAAATAATACGCGTATTCGGTAATACCAAATATAGACAAATTCGGTACAGTATTCGGTATATCTCAAATACCGGTACCAAACTTCCAGTCCTTCCATGTGTGCAAAAAAAATCAAAATCCAAGTTAAAACGAAGAAGATAAGAACCGATTATGAAAACTAGGGAAAATAAAATGTCTTTAATTGACAACTCTTAGATCTGAATTTTATGGTCCCACTTAGATCTAAAGGTCCAGATTTAGTTACTCATAGGTCAGTAACCAATGGTTACCGACCCTATCCTAAGCCAGGCTAGAAGGTGCAGGTATGGGTACTCTACTCGATCTGGTTTGTCTCGTCCTTGACATAATGTGGCTAAATTATATATGATTTTACTTTTATTATCTCATATTTTGGTTGCAATAAAGTTGTAAATAATTGACAATCTCAATTTGTCGAATAATTTAACCACATTTATCATATTATAGTTTGAATCTTGATTTTTTTAATGAAAAGTTCTAAAGTTATCCCTTCGAATTACATAGTTATATGAGTCGATCTGCCCCCATCTATCACTCATAATAAATTATTATTTTTATTCTATGGCGAATATGAAATATTGAAAAATCCGCCGTATTGTCATTCGCGAACCAAGGATACCACTGGAATCATCAACCCATTTCTAGTGTTATTGACTTTGGATGATGATTGGGTGGTGTGGTGTTAATTGATCTACACTAGGAGGTTGGGAATGGAGTACGTGGACCTGTATCTGGTCCACTGGCCAGTGAGCCTGAAAAAGGAAGCTGCCCCACTAGGGTTTGCCAAAGAAGACATAGTCGAGTTCGACATGAAAGGGACGTGGGACGCCATGGAACAGTGCTTCAGACGTGGGCTCTGCAAATCCATTGGTGTCAGCAACTTCGGCCCCGCCAAACTTTGCCAATTGCTTCGCCATGCAACCGTCCCACCTGCTGTTAATCAGGTCTGCCCGATCTTAATCACACTTACCAACCCAAAAAAAAAACCCATTAAATAAATAATTGACCAGTGAGAAAAAGAAAGGTCTCTTAATGGTTTGTCTTGATTTGACTTTTGGCAGATAGAAATGAACGCAGGGTGGCAGCAGAAGGAGCTGGTGAAGCTGTGCAAAGAGAAAGGGATTCTGGTGTGCGCCTGGTCGCCGTTGGGAGCAAACGGCGCCGCTTGGGGGTCTTTCTCCGTCATGCACAGCTCCGTCCTCAAGGAAATTGCCGACGCCAAAGGCAAGTCCGTCGCTCAGGTAACAAACTTAAAGATTATAATAATTTGCACTGCCTACAATTTAATTAAAAACTTGCTCTGGTTAATCGTTACCTGCTACAAACATGGTCATGCTTAAAAACCAGGTAGCGTTGAGATGGATATACCAGCAAGGTGCGATTCCAATAGTGAAGAGCTTCAACAAGGAAAGAATGAGGCAGAACCTGGAAATCTTCGACTGGGAACTGACACCAGACGAGGTTTCAAGAATCGAGCAGCAGATTCCACAGCAGCGTGGCTTCTCTGGGGAGATGTTCGTCTCTGAGACTGGGCCTTACAAGTCTGTCGACGAGCTTTGGGATCAACCTTTCAGTCTACCATCATAATGAGAAGACAACAGTCAAACCCATCTTGGCATTCGAACTTTAGCATCGGGATCACGTACCAGGGAATTGTCACGAACTATTTGGCCTCTGTAGCTAGTGTTTTGTTACTCTCTTTCTCTGTCAGGGATTATGGATTCCTGCAGAAGAGCAACATCGATTTAAGTGATGTAACAGAGAAGAGTACGCGTCTTCATCACATCATTTCATCAAACATGCAGGGTGGCTAAGGACATTATTTGACCCTTAATCTGCAAATGAGATGTCTGATAATCTATCAGTCAGCCATGAACCAGACGTGAACATATCTTGGGCTGAGTAGTTATTGTCAAAGACAATGGCTCGGAAGACATCACAAGTGTTATAAATAAAACATCTACTAATTGTCTAATTCCAAGAGAGATTTTAATAACACGAAAGGGGATCATCGTGAATTTTGTGGATAGGCAGAGCATGTTGATTCCTACAGCCATCTGACCAAAGCATAGCTGGTTTTACAGTCGGACAATTCCCGCCTCTTACACATGCTGCAGCCTGTCACCCTGAAAAGGAAGAACAGTAGCAAGTTTTGAATTTGAGCTAAGACCATTATACTCCTTTGTTTCTGGCATCCATACAAGCTTTTCATCTTTGGTGGCTTTAATCCAATGAAGTGATGAATCCTAAATTTAGCAGCTTTATCAATCTCCATTAACCGAAATTTAGCAGCTGAATCCAAAAGTGAATTAGCATAGAAGAAAGCTAGTCAATACTTCACAAGGAGATCGCCGACGCCAAATCCAAGTCCGTCACTCAGGTAATAGCAATTGCACCGCCTACAATTTAATTAATAATTAAGCATTAACTACAGAGATAATCATGCTTAAAAACCAGGTAGCATTGAAGTGGATATACTAGCAAGGGGCGAGTAAATAAACAGCTTCAACAAGAATAGAATGAGGCAAAATCTGGACATCTTCAACTGGGAACTAACCCAAGACGAGGTTTCAAAGATCGAGCAGCAGATCCCACAGCAGCATGGCTCCTCTGAGAGGAGTTCGTCTCCAAGACTGGGCCTTACAAGTCTGCCAACGAGATTTGTGATCAACCTTTCAATCTCTTGCCGTAATGACAGGACGACCATTAACAGTCAATCCATCTCTGGATTGGAATCTTAGAATCGACATTACGTATCAGAATATCTATTCTTACAAGTATTTGGCCTGTGTAGCTAGTGTTACTCTCTTCTTCTAGCAGGGAGTATGACTCCTGCAGAAGAAAAACAACAATTTAAGTGACCTAACAGAGGAGGGTTCGACTTTATTTATTTTCAACAGATAGGATGCGTAAGCACATTGTTGGATTATTACTTGCAAAATGAGAAGTCTGATAATCTATCAGCAAGAAGCCAGATGTGAAGAAATTATGCACAGCATTATTGTCAAAGACTATGGCTCTAGCCATATGAAGCATTATTAACGGCCTCTACTGATTCCAAGAGATGTTATAAGAACAGGAAAGGTAAAATACACCTATCAAGTTACCTTGTGAATCTTCAGGATATGCAGTGGCACTGGCAGTTGATTCTTGCTGTCGTTTGGTAAAGCCGATAGGCAGATTTCATTTCATCAGAAGAGGGAAAAAACCCCATTATCCATTACATATCTCATATATATAATAAACTAAAATCCTATACAGTACACTAATTAAATGAATCTTACAAATTAACCTATACACTATACATTATATACATTTAAGTCCTCGTCGTTTCCTCCTTGGACAACTCCCCCCCGCAAGCTGGTGCGTATATATCAAGACGACCCAGCTTGGCCTGCAACTGTTGGAAAACATGAACTGGAAGAGCCTTTGTAAACATGTCAGCAAGTTGGTTAGCAGAAGAAACGTGAAGAACTTTGATCACCCCATCTAAAATCTTATCCCTAATGACATGACAATCAATCTCTATATGTTTGGTGCGTTCATGATTCACAGGGTTATCGGCAAGCTTAATAGCAGACATACTATCACAAAATATGGGAGTAGGCGAAGATAGACAGATCTGCAGATCATTCAACACATATCTAAGCCACATTAATTCACAAGTTAAGCTAGCCATTGCCCTATATTCAGCTTCAGCTGATGAACGAGAAACAGTATTCTGTTTCTTTGAACGCCAACTTACCAATGAATTGCCCAATAGAACACAAAATCCTGTAGTAGAGCGACGCGTATCAGGACAACCAGCCCAGTCACTATCACAAAAAGCTTGTAATTTTAGTTCAGATTCAGCAGAAAAGAAAAGTCCTTGACCTGCAGTGCCTTTTAAATAACGTAGAACACGTTCAGCAGCTTGCATATGCAGATCAGTAGGATTGTGTGTAAATTGGCTTAATTGATGAACTGAATAAGCTAGATCAGGACGCGTATTACAAAGATATAGGAGTCTCCCTACCAATCGTTTATAAACAGAAGGGTCAGAGAGTACATTACCAGAAGAAGCAGACAGTTTGGTACCTGGAACAGAAGGGGAATCACAAGGTTCTGCACTAAGGAAACCATAATCTGTTAGTAAATCTAAGGCAAATTTCCGTTGATATAACAAAATACCCTTAGCAGATCTAGCAATTTCAAGACCAAGGAAGAATTTTAATTCTCCAAGATCTTTGATTGTGAAAGTTTGATCAAGTTGCTGTTTAAGAGTGGTAATAGCTTTAAGATCATTACCTGCCAAGATCATATCATCAACATATACAAGAGCAATAGTAAAAGACTGCTCATGACTTCGAACAAACATTGAGTAGTCTGCTTTGAACTGTTTATACCCAGCCGAAGTTAAAAACTTAGAAAGTTTGATGTTCCATTGACGACTTGCTTGTTTTAAACCATAGATAGATTTGTTGAGACGACAAACTGGATTCTTAAAACCAGGAGGCACAACTAAACCCGGAGGAATCTTCATGTAGACCTATTCATCAAGGTCTCCATGTAAAAATGCTGTATTAACATCAAGCTGATGTAAATGCCAGTTATTAATAGCAGCTAAAGACAAAACAAGTCTAACAGTAGTGTGTTTGACGACTGGTGCAAAAGTTTCTAAATAGTCCAAGCCAGGAGTTTGAGTGTATCCCTTTGCTACTAGACGAGATTTAAAACGCTCTATGTCACCATTGGCAAGAAATTTGATTTTGAAAACCCACATATTTCCTATAGCAATTTTACCAATAGGCAATTCAACAATAGTCCATGTATTAGTTTTGTCCAAAGAAGCTAACTCAGAATTGCAAGCTTCTGACCACCTAGGATCCTTAATGGCCTCTTTATATGATCTAGGTTCTAGAACAGCAGAGCTGGACAGAATATACTTCTTGTATTCTGGACTCAAATTATCAAATGTCATCACTTTAGATAAAGGAAAAGTAACATCAGTACACTTTACAGCACATATGTAATCATTTAATTTCTTAGGACGTACTTTAACACGAGATGGCCTCGCATAAGGAGGTGGTTCAACTGCTTGAATGATATCAACCAGATCTAGAGGCTCATCGGGTGGAAGAACCTCTGAGGAATCTAAAGCCTCCTCAGATTGAGGCAAAGAAGAAATAGATTGAAGCCGGGAAAGAGAATCAGTTATACTATGATGAGTTACTGTTTCCTGAACTTGAATACAAGGAAAACAAAAATCAAACTCAGGTGCGGATGTAGAATTAGCAAATGGAAAGACATGTTCATGGAATACAGTATCTCGTGAATAAAATATGTTGTGAGAAACGAGATTATAAAGTCTGAACCCTTTAACAGTGCTGAGCACACCTAAGAAAACACAAGGGTCAGCTCTAGGAGCAAATTTAGGTCTGTTATGTTGCAGTGTTGAAGCAAAGACAAGGCAACCAAAAACTTTGAATTCGCTATAAGCAGGTTTAGCTTTGAAAAGCAATTCATAAGGAGAAAGATTTTGTAAAAGTGGAGATGGCATTCTGTTTATCAAGAATACAGAATGTAAAATAGCAAAACCCCAAAAAGAGATTGGTAATGAAGCTTGGAACATGAGAGCACGAGCAACAGCCAGTATATGTTGGTGTTTCCTCTCAACACGACCATTTTGTTGAGATGAAGCAACGCAAGTTGTTTGATGTATAATACCAAACGTATTGTAGAAAGATGGAACATTAAATTCTTGGCCATTATCTGTTCGGATTATTTTGATTTTTGAGGAAAACTGGGTGTTAACAAAAGCCGGCAGATCTAATAGAATTTGCCTAGCTTCACTTTTTGTTTTCATTAGATAAATCCAAGTATGTCTTGAGAAATCATCGACACAAGTGAGAAAGTATCTAAAGCCATCAATAGTGGGAACCTGATATGGTCCCCAAATATCGATATGAAGTAACTCAAAGGGAACAGAAGCATGAGAAGTACTCGAAGGAAAGGGGAGACGCTTCTGTTTAGCTAACGGACAAATAGTACAAGGTGTTTTATTATGAGAAACAGCTGGTCTGATTGTATCATCTAAAATATGAGAGAGTGGAATGGAAGTGTGACCAAGTCTGTAATGCCAGATATCAAAAGGAACATAAGTGGCATTGAAACAAACATTACAGGAGGATGAATGAGATACAGACGATGCTATGTTGAGATGATAGAGGCCAGATTCTTGTTTAGCTGTACCAATCGTTTCGTGGGACGAAAGATCCTGAATTAAGCAAGAATCGGCAGTAAATTTTAAGACGCAATTTGAAGATTTTACTAGTTTAGACACTGAAATGAGATTGAAAGAAAACGCTGGAATGTATAATACATCATGTAAAGTAAGCATAGGAGTGATTTGAATAGTTCCTATGTGGGTAACTCTAACTTTAACACCATTTGGTAATGATACTGACATGTTGTTTATTGTTCTATAAGTCTGAAATAAGTGTAGAACTGACACAACATGATCAGTTGCCCCACTATCCACTATCCAATCCATAGAATTCAAAGCTAAGTTTGAAGATGAGAGGATGGTACCTGTATCTTCTGTGGTAATATCATTGTCCCCAAGTGGTTGAGGGATATAGGCAGAATCATCAGTTGATGGGAGAGTGACAGGAGCAGCAGGTGTAGGAGTCATTTGTCTTGTAGACGTGACCAGGTTGACCGCAGGAGTAGCAGGAAGATGCTGAACTTGCGGAGATTGCATCTGATGTAGTAAGGACTGATATTGGGCTCTAGAAAGCACCACAGATTCATTGCCAACAACTCCTTCAGTAGAATGAAGTTGATCACCCTCTGTCACAGCAGCATTGACACGACGATGCTTGTATCCAGGTGGATACCCATGAAGTTTATAGCACCGATCCACCGTATGCCCATAACCTTCACAGTGAGTGCAATAAGGTCGCTTCTTACCCCCACCTTGTCCTGAAGCATTAGAAGTCTGACCCTTGGAAGAGCCTCCTTGGCCAGAATGCTGTCCCTTTGAAACTCCATGAGTATGAGCAGCTAGGGCAGTAGGGAGTAAGGACGGATTAACAGACTGCCGTTCATGCTGAGCTAGGCTAGAAAAAACCTTGTTGATGGAAGGCAGTGGATCCATCATCAACAACTGTGACTTAATGTGACTAAAGCTCTCATTCAGCCCCTTTAGAAACCGAATAACCTGATCCCTACGCATATATTCTCGCGGAATCGATGAAGCATCACACATACACTTAGGATTGCAGGAGCAAACAGGGAGAGGTCGCAGAATCAAAAACTCTTCGCACAGCACACGAAATTTGGTAAAGTAAGAGCTAATAGACAGCGAACCTTGCTTGAGAGCCGCGATTTCATCATAGAGATCCGAGATGCGAATCTCATTTCCTTCACTGAAACGTTCGCGAAGATCCTCCCAAGCTTCTACCGCTGTATTGAACCACAGAATACTCTGTGCAATCTCAGTAGCAACAGACCGCTGAATCCATCCTAGCACGAGAACATTAGCCTGATCCCAAGCACTCCAGAGCGGATCATCTGGCGACGGGACCGGTGAACGAGAATCGATTAATGGAAGCTTGTTTCTTGCATGTAACCCCATGCGCATTGAGCGCGCCCAGCTGTGATAGTTGGAACCAGAAAGAAGCACTGTAACCAGTTGTTGAGCAGAAAGATCGCCGTTGGCCACAAAGAATGGATGCGCCGGCGACAGTGTAGCACTGATGGACGCAGATCCACCAGACATCGCGCTAACCGGAGGAACACTGCTAGGGATCGCAGTGACCGGAGGGACACCGCCAGACGCAGCTCCAGAAGGCGGTGGACCAAACGTCGCATTCACAGCTGAAAGGGACGCCATCGATCTGACTGATGAATCGACTGGAAAAGAACTGAGCAATCGGAATCAGGACTCACGATCGTCGCTGAGAAACGAACGAATCGGCAATCGTCACAGAAAGACGAACTAATCAAAGAATAGAGTGAGCGGAAAACTGGATCGGAACGATCGAAGAACGATCGAGAAGCAGAGGAAAGAGAAACTGGAACGAGATGTTCCCTTCTCCTGGAACCCTCGAGAAGACGAAAAGAAAATGGCAACAAACAAAAAAAAATCAAAGAAAGCAAGAAAGGTGGATTACACCCTCTGATACCATGTCGTTTGGTAAAGCCGATAGGCAGATTTCATTTCATCAGAAGAGGGAAAAAACCCCATTATCCATTACATATCTCATATATATAATAAACTAAAATCCTATACAGTACACTAATTAAATGAATCTTACAAATTAACCTATTCACTATACATTATATACATTTAAGTCCTCGTCGTTTCCTCCTTGGACAACTCTTGCAGCCATCTGACAGAAGCAAGGCTGGCTTTCAAGTCAGATTATTACAATCTCTTACCCGCGCTGCAGCCACCCACCCTGATATAGATGAACAGGAGCAATCCATGAGTGAAGGTCATCTTTATAGAAAATAACGTAAAGAAGATTACTGATTCCGTACAAGCCAGAAGCCTAAATGTATAGCAAGTTTTGATTTTGAGCTAATACCAACATGCTCCTTTTTTTCTGGCAGCCATACCAGTTGATCTTAGGTGGCTTTAATGCAATCAAGTGATTAAAATGTTTAATTCCATGAACCCAAATCAACCAACTGAAGTGATATTCGTCCAAGATGATAAAAATCCGGCAAGTGTTGCTTACACAACCCAATGCGCCTTTTGTTTAAACTGGGATGAATACAAGTTGAAAACCCAGTCTTCCATCCAGGAACTTCTGCCGCTGCATCACATGCACAGTATAAACAGATGGTGCTGGAGCTGAGCACTCCATAACAAAACAGTCACATGGCCTTCGCTCACTCACCATTCTTGTTAATGATAACAAACATGAGCCACTATATGAAGCTCCGTATGTCATGGCTCCAGCATCATCATCACACAGTTTTTTCACTTACGATGAATTAAACCCTATGTCATCACCTAGCTTATCCACAGTTGACGAAAACTTGCTCAGTTCAGCATCAAATCGTTTCTCAATGGCATCCTCATGGATTCGACACCTAGGGTACGGATGCAAGATTTCCTCAGCTGATCTCGAAATGGCCTCAACTTCAGAGAAGTTATCACAGTAGCTATACCACCTAAGCCAACGGCTGATTATGCCAATGAATGATTTGGATGTCATCCGGTAATAACAGTGAGCGCGCTGCACAAGGTTGTCCTCTAATAGTGACCAATCCATATTGAACAAACGTTTTTTAATGGCATAAACAGGTGCAATGATCTTTGTAACAGTTTCAGCAGGAGGGTGATTAGAACATGGAAGAAGAGCAGGCGTTGTAGCTGTCTCGAAATGAACATAACTTTCTGCACACTTCTTGAATTCCAAGTCGGAATCCCTGAGGTCATTTGGGAGGGCAGGTTCCACAATGCCAGATATGATGAGCTGCTCACTTCGTACAATTTTAGCATCAAGGTTTTGTACCCATATCTTGACTAGAAGCTTGTACCAATGATCGGTTTCCATCCCAGGTTTGCGAAAGGATGAAATTTGGCTTAAGAGAGACTTCGGGTCGGATAAATGCTTAATCTCTGACTCTTTGACCTCTCTCAAACCATGGCCTAACCATTTTTTTCCAATTCCAACAACGCCTCTCTCCCATGCCTCCTGTTTCTGTGATGTAAATAACTTCACTTTCTCCTTCAACTTGTGAACAGCCTTTACAGCAGGAGTCTCCTTAATCTCTCTTCTAACCAAAGTACCCAGAAACTGATGCCTTGACTGTCGGTACTAGATAATATCTGTGCATCACTACTAGCAACTAGCAAGTAGCATCTAAGTGCAAACAGCTACGCAAGTAATCTATAACCTCAGATTTGAAATCAGCAACATCTTTGGGTCCTGAAACTGCAAAAAGTAATTGATCCATGACCCGACAACAAAAGATTCTTGGACCAGACTCCTCATTCCTATTATCGCTGCATTTCATCTGCCTCTTAAAAGAAGTCCGCAGATTAGAACGTGACACTTCTTCACGTAATGGACCGCCTGGAATTAGAGCTTCATATTTCACCGACAGCCTGTAGAATTCTCGGTCAGAGAGATCAAGATATATGTTCGTCAATATAGGAGACAACACACCTTGTGGGAGACCATGCCCTTTGGGGAAACCACCAAACATCTCTGAATCGCCTCGAACAAGCAGGTATCTTTAATTGCTTCCTCCCTAACTGATATAAGCTTGGCAAAAACACAAGCACCCAACTTCTAACTTAAGATCACTGAAAAGTGAAAACCACCAATCTGGATTCCTGAACTCTTTCTTGATGAAGCAGTAGAGTGGCTTCTCTCACTCCTACAACCATGAGATACCTTAGAGAAATGAGGCCTGTATACAACTTCCAACACCAACCTGATAGCCTCCTGAACAACTGACAACTTCAGGTAAGACAAGTACTTCTTTCACCTCCCCCTTGTCGAGATGGAAAACGTATTCTCCACAATACTAAAAGTCCCACTCAAGAGCTCATCAGCCATGGATTGGAACGAGATGTTATGATCGATTGACCAGATATCGATGTTCAAGTTGAGCCTAATGCAATAGTAAGCACCCTCAAGACTTTCTGGGTTTGCAATGACATTCGTCATTAAATTCTCAACCTTCCCATTAACATAATGCTCTTTCACTCTGTTCTTCACTTGGATTTCAAGGTATCTCTTTAACTGTTATCCAACATTCTGGTGCCTTATCGTCATCAAGATTGGGAGTCTCTTGAACGAGGTTAGCCAATGCATATAAGTCAAGCCCTTATGAACACAACCAGGAGCAGCTGAAAGAGAAGACCAACCCGCGAAACCTGGCAATAGTTCCACGGATTCTCCTGCAGCAAAAGCTAAGAACCGAATATTATAGCTCTCATTGCCATCAATGGTTCAAGGAATTGCACACCTAGGCGGACCATAAAGCTATCTTGTAAATCGTAATGAATCACAAATTCAGCTAAAAGGGATGTGATGAAACTCACCTTTACCGTCCAGCAATGGACCCTCGGCTGGAATTGATACTTTTAGGCATACAACGCCGAAAGGAGTTGCGCCTGCACACTATTGGCAGCCAGGTCAGAATGACCATTTTAGCGGAGCTCCAAACAAAGCGCCGATACCAACGTAACTCAGAAGCTCAGAACCACTAAATCGAGCATGAGGAAGAAGAAAGACGGGCGGACTGAGACAAACGATGATCATCTTCAGTGCGGCATTTCACCGAACAGGTTGCCTACAATGGAACGGAACTCGTTGAGGCGCGTATAGGATCTCTCTTTCTTTTCCCACCCTTTTTGCCGCAGAAGTAGGGGTGAACAAACACACCCGCAAACCGACTCACCCGTCCAACCCGACCCAACCCACCCGTATGTATCGCTAAATCGAAGATTTTGGGTTGGGTTAGGGTTTTCTTTTGTACAACCCGCCTCTTTTGGGTTGGGTTTGGATTTTGGATTACACAACCCGTAGAACCCGACCCAACCCGTGTTCCAATTATTGGTATGAGTTCGTATTCAAAAAAATATTTATGTCGTATATAGTCATACTTATGAGAAAATTAACATATTTCGCCATGTTTTTCTCTTTAAGTCTCACTAATCTAATGCATTCTTCGACTTAAAGTTTAGACATATATTTAATATAGCTATGATTCACGTAATTTTTTTTTCTTTTGTACAATTTTAAAAGAATATCATATTATGAATGCGTTCATTTGTAACCTTTTTAGCCTATTTCAACAAATGTAGTGAAAAAAACTAGACATAAGTTGAAGTAAATCAAGTTTTATTAAACTTCAAACAATATTTGTGAATTTTGATACCTTTCACCTCGGTTTATTCGTTTGAAATTTTTAATTTGTTATAAAATATTTTTATGATGTAGAATAATTACATATTTTGTGTTGGGTTGGGTTTTTACTTAAAAATATCGCCAACCCGACCCAACCCAATTAGAAACAAACCGTAGGGTTTATATTTTTTTGGGTGGGTTTGGGTTTCATATTTCCCAAACCGTAGCGCATGGATCGGGTGATTAAAATGTCTAAACCCGAACCACCCGACCCATGTACACCCCTACGCAGAAGTGAAGCGGGTGCAAAAAGAGTCACTTACACTATCCATCACTGAACTTATTTGCTTATTTCACTTCGGTCATCCTAAAAAGGGAGTCTACACATAATATAATATCTTTTTTATTTATTAATAAAAAAGACAGGCACTGAGCATCATAGTCACTTTTAACAAAAACAAATATCATAACCAATCACACTAAGTATATTTGTGTATCTTTTTAAATTAAAAACATACATGAACCTAAAATCTGAAAATCATATGACTTTTTCAACGATTAGTTGGCCACTGAATCTCCCGTAACTACTTATTTGGTATTTTGATACTTTGATTTTCATATTTTTAGTATTTTAGTTGTATTTTAATAATTAATTTAAATTTATATCTATCTTATATATATATATATATATATATATATATGTGGTAACCCTAAAATTGCAGCCCAAATATCACTGGTTCAAATATTTCATTATCGAATTGCAATATTAAATATGTAGAAGCAATGTCTACTTCTTAAATTAGTATTAGTTTTCAGAAATGCTATGAAACAATCATATCCTTGTGCAAACTATATGGGAATGATTCTTTTAACGGTTAACCGCTTCGTTTTAAACATACTCTAATCTGGCATGATTGGATCCAACAATCATTATACGAGATTGAATTTAATAGGGTGGCTCATTTCACCACTTTTTGGCGTGTTATAAATTTTTAGGACATTGACATGTCCACATATACACTCATCATAATCTACACATAATATAAAGGTGAAATGAGAAATGAGGGATCCCATTTCAAATTTCATGCATCCAGACCAATTGTTTGAGGGGTAATTTTAGAAGGCTCCCGTATGGGCATTCTGTTGAGGACGAAAGTAAAAAAACATGTTTTGATTTAAACGGACCCAATATGTTATTTGACCCACTAATCGTGCACCCATCGACCATCGCAGCCTCGCCAAAGCTTCCCATTCTACTCGTTGAGTCATCTCCTCCCACATAAACCTACTCTCCTCATGTACCCAAAGTTTCAACTAAACCCTATTCTCTACAACCTAGGACATAGATTCTTACTGGAATGCATAGAGGGAGCAACCGACGGATTGTAGCTACCCTCACTATTCTGGTAGCTAATCAAGAAGACCCCGTTTGTTCAGCTGTATGGTGATTCATTTAATTAACACACTCCACTTCATTGACAACCTTCTCCCCTCAATTGTATTGTGTTCACGAAGATCTGAAGGCAGCAAGTGCAACAGGTGCAGGGGTAATCAATATGTATAAAGCATTTGTCCTAATTGAATTGAGTTGTTCTACTTAGAACATGAAGATTTTTGCTTAATTGCTTTGGTTCGTTATACGGATATGTTTGAAGGTAGACCAGCACAAACAAAGTACAGCTCTAGAGCTATTCTGCACATAAGGTAGTTGGGGCATTAATTGATAATGATTTGGGATAATGAGTTAGTTATGAGTCTTATGACAAGGTTTATTTAATGAAGACAAAGTCATGTGTATTTTTTTTACCATTCTCACCGCTTTATCTTTTAGCACAGGTTGATATCTGGAGTGTGCATTCGTCTTCCCAATCTATGACCACCCATGGATCCACCTATGCCATCACTACACGGAAGTATTGACAACATTGATGTCGATGTTGTTATTGTCAAAGATTGTATGTGTTTGTCAGATCTTCTAATCCATCCAAAAGAAAACAAGATGCAGTAGCACTATAGCTCCACAACGTTCCTCAGTTTTATTGTCATTCCGTTTTCTCTTGCGAATGCTCGCTATGTTGGGAAGATAAAACAATCCAGAAGGACATAGATAGTATGTTTTCTTCTTTTTAAGCGTGTTTCATGCTTGTATATTTTGCAAACATGCTACATTTGGATTCTCACCAACATTTTAGTTTTCATCTCAATTTGAATAATAAAATTTGTATTTCTTTTGACTTCCAAATTTTAATATTTCTTCTAGTTTCTTTTGCAACTATAAGGGGTTTGCCTACTCCTAGAAATCTCTTATCCAATTCGAATTGAAGTGTTGTCCTCACCTGTCTGGTAGATACAATGAAACTTGGTAGATGTTTAGTTTAATTAACTCGAAGTAGGTCTCATTTATGCAGTCTTCTTTGATATCCTAAACACTGAAAACAAATTCACGTCACTTATTCCCTATTCCATAACAAACTAATGACAAGTCACTAATGAGATGCTACCCTCATACTATACATGAGCCAAGAACAATATTATGTTCATACCAATAATTCAATATTCAGCTCAGCTACCTCCGACCAACGGACTGGGTTATAAGCTAGTAACAACTAACAAGGCAATAGCCACTAAAGTTTAAAATAATTCTTAACATAGTAGAATTTGGTGTTTTTTTCCTCGCAGAGGGAAGATAAATGTCGTCACTTATAAAGGCGATAAAATGTATGTTGATTGATAGACTAGCGATATATATGCATATAATTTTTTGGGAAGTAACAATCCTTATGTCGTAGACGCGATGAGATACATTTGGAGAACGTGATGAGAGTACTTTTTTTAATGGGTTGTTGGCCCCAAAGATCAAACTTATGGTGTGATGAATGTTCTCGTCTCTATATTACCACTAGGCCAACCCCATAAGAGCACTTTTCTCCTTTTGCTTTTTATTTTATTTTTGAGTTGTAAAACATTATTCTTTCAACAAAGCTTGTAATAAAATACCCTTATTTTTAGGGATTTCCTATGGTAACTTGAAGTAAGGTAACTTGAGTTTTCTTACCTGTTATAGCAGGTTTCACATGTCGCATTACGTAAAATACAACAGACATTACGTAATGCTTATGTAACCTATGGTAGTCTTACGTAACAGTTGTAAAAGATAATTACGAAAACTTTACGTAATAGAATGTGTCTTTACGTAATGAGTATTAACCTCACGTTACGTAAAACGCTAAGTCATTACGAAAGCTTTACGTAATGCTACTAATTTAACTGTTACGTAAGAAATAATTGCCGTTCCGTAACCTTTACATAATGGAATATCTTTTTACGTAATGAGTATTAAACTCGCGTTACGTAAAGTACAAAGTCATTACGGAAGCCTTACGTAACGCTTCCGATTTAACTGTTACGTAAGAAATAACTATCGTTCCTTAACCTTTACGTAATGAATGTGTATTTTACGTAACAGTTGTGAAATGTCATTACGGAATCCTTACGTAATGGAAGGTATTTTTACGTAATGATTATTAACGTCGTTTTACGTAAAGAGCTAAGTTATTACGGAAGACTTACGTAACGCTTCTAATTCAATAAGAATTAAAATAAGGAAAATCGACTAAATATGAAAAAGGAAAGAGAATATATGAGAAAGGTAAATTGTGAGGTGGTGACCGCCAACCTGTTGCTATTAATTTTTTTTACTTAATTTTTTTATTTTTTATTTCTTAATCAATGGTTAAAATTAGTTTGATCGATTTTAACGGTTTAGATCTATACAAGTTACCTAACTTGAAATTATACCCAAGTTATTGTAGGAGGTCCCTTATTTTTAATATAATGGTACCAATTTTGATATGTATTAAATACATTTTTTCCAGATATTTTGATATTTGAAATGACATATTAACACACACCACGTGACATATTCGTACAACATATTTGACATATTCATACAATACATTTTGGAGTATCCAGATTGACTAAGTTTAACAAGTGGTGTGAATATTTTTAACAACTGTTATGAATAATCTCACATAACACATTTTTGTCTCTCGAGTGTTTAAACTTTAAACGCTGCAGCCAACAAATGTCCTTTCCCTCACAAATATGGTGTGTTTCGTTGGTGAAATCGTCTAAAATACATTAACTATCTTATAATCTAAGATAATGAAACTTGACTTACACTTCCAAACAAATCAAAACTTGCTTTCTCATCCAGATTCATGGCATCATTCTTAAGTTGAATATTTGAAAAGCAAGCACAAATCCAATCACCAACCGGGCCCGTTTAGTATAAAAATTATGAGCTCAAGAGCAAGCTGGAAAAGTACTGACGTCAGGGATTGAATAAGCATTAAGCAAAGGAAGGGGTTGCATTCAATTTCCTTAAAAACAGGGGATTTGAGCTCATGCGGAATGAGTGGCAGGAAACTCTTGATTAATTGTCCCCTTGTCTCTTTGTGTTAATGACTTAAAAAGTGCTCTTTTATTTTTATTTGTCCCGTCCACCGATTCCGTGGTGCCGTTACGGCAAAGGTGCTCGGAGTGGTCCTGCCCGGTTCGATCTCTGGTTTGGAATGGAATATTGGTTCACACAAAATTGATTGGACTTTATTTATAGATCTGATTTGATTACAACTAGTCATATTACAACTAGACCAAACATTTATCCCTATCATCGGCTGACTCTTGACACCCAAATGTCGAATATCTCTGCCATTCAAAATCAAGATCTGCTGAAATCAACCAACGATCTCCATTATCATCGTCGGGTAATTGCTGTCACCCAACCATCACCATCATCGTTTTTTTCGTTGTCGCCAGGCGCTCAGCCATTCTGCTAATGATGACATCGAGGGGCAACGAGGTAACGAAATCGACGAGAGAACAACTTTATGCATGCCCTTGTTTGATGGCATCAAGGAGGGTCGGATGGTGGTGCGAGGGGATGCGATGCTCGTGCAGGAGGCTGGTTGAGCAAACAAAATCCATCATCTCTGTTTAAATTCATTTCCTGAGGATCAATCGAAGACGAATTGTTGTATATTTTTTTTCGGGTAATGCCACATTTGGTTACTGAGATTACTAAATCTTGTCATGTTTAGTCATTAGAACAATTTAATATCAATTTTGGTCACTCGAATTATTGAAACATGTCACATTTAGTCACTCTCCCGTTAGTTTTTCGTCCAACTTCATTAATGGAGTTGGACGGAAACTAACGAGAGAGTGACTAAATATGACATGTTTCAGTAATTCGAGTGACCAGAGTTGGACGAAGGCTAACGAGAGAGTGACTAAATGTGACATGTTTCAGTAATTTGAGTGACCAAAATTGATACTAAAATTTTCTAGTGACTATTGACTAAACATGGCACGTATCAGTAATCTCAATGACCAACTGTGGCATTTACCCATTGTTTTCCTAATAGAGTTGTTTTGAGGATTTTATTTCAATTTCTTGTTTTTAGTAGGTAAAAAACTTTTTTCTTTGATTATAAATCTATCTGGTTGGTTTTTTGTTTTGACAAGTACTCAAGCTTAAATCATAATGTAAAATAAGGAAATAGTAATAACGAAGGATAAATTTTTTTTGGATCAACCATTAGCTGGTTCAACCGATTTGGTCTAGTGTTAGTAACCAATCAATCAATGCTGATTAAGTGCAAAATATCTAAACGGTGCCGGCAGGGGTGCCCTTGTGTCATATATATAATTAAAAATTATTGAAAGTGGGTTATAAAATATATTTAACAGGCTAAAATAAAAAATGAAAAACCAGCAAACTGCCGCGTATCTTTATTCATAGACGGCAACGACAAACAAACAAAACAAAGCCATAAATAAATGTATTAATTAATCATTAATTTTTATATCATGCATTTTTTATGAATATATATATTATGGATATTCTTTTTTCTTTGACGGAAATTCTTGGATATATGGCGTGGCGACGGAAAAGGAAACTTTTGACTATTAGTGCTGGAAAATAAAATCGCTGGATCTAACCCTCCCTCCCTGCCCACACAATACTACGAAAACAATGCCGGCCGAGCATGCCAACAAGAGAAAGAAAAGAAGCCACTTGGAAACTTCCGTCGTCGCCGGCCACGGCGTCGACGGAACCAGCAGCAGCAGCCGAGATGCAGCAATTGATCCATTCACGAAGCTTCCGGATGAACTAGCGGTGGAGATTCTCTCCCGGCTGGGGACGATGAACCAAGTGGCGAAATGCAGCAGCCTCGTGTGCAGGCGGTGGCGGAACCTGTGGCGATCGATCGACGGCGGGATTCTGGATTTCAGCAGCTACGACGACCACCACGATCGGCGGCCCTTGAGGAAGGGAGCCTACACCGAACCGGAACAACAGCTCCGCTTCGCGAACCGGGTGGACCAAGCGGTTAGTTCGATTCTTCTCCACCACTGCTGCAAAAATCTCGACCTGGACGCTTTCATTATAGGGTTTGATTTGTATGAATTGGAGGAGGAAGCATGGAGGTGGGTCGAATTCGGATTGAGCAAGAGGGTCAAACAGCTGAGCCTGTTGAACTTCTTCTCCTGGCATCTCCGGAATTGGGTCTCGTTGCCCCAATTGACCCCTGAGTTCCTCGGCAAGCAGGACCTCAGCCGCCTGCAGGTTCTTGAACTCGAGGGAGTGTCGAAGATCCCGCGAGGAGCATTGGATCACATCTTCTCCAATTGCTCGTCCTTGCAGCGATTGGTTCTCCGCGATTGCAGATTCTTGTGCCCCGAAGGGGAGCTGGTGATCAGGGTTTGTTGCCCTGGGAACAACCTCCAGAGCTTGAGCTTGGAGTATGGAGAAACGCTGTACAATGTGACCAAGATCGAGCTCGTCTCTGCTCCGGGTCTCCAGTCGTTCCGGTTCGTTGGTCGAATCAACCCCAAAGTGGTCGAATTCGTGGGCGAGCTTCCTCAACTTCGGGAGGCACGGTTTGGTGGGAGAGGGATTTGTGAACCGCCACACTACCTCCCCTGGTCTCGATCACAGTTCAGCAAGTTTGCACCTCAACTGGAGCGTCTCGAGATTGATCTCGGGATTTGTCACTTCATCCCACATCTGGCTCCTCCCCCAGAATGGCTGATGTTTGAGAACCTCACCGTGTTGGATTTGTTCATATACTCTGAGCTCTTTAGCCCGAACAGTTTCTTGGATGCCACTGTCCTGCTGAGGGCTGCTCCGTTGCTGCACAGATTGTCGATATGGTTCATGCGGGTAGCAAGACCGCTAGGGCAATGGAAGTGGCGAGACTTGGCTGCGGTATCGACGTGGAAGCATCACTCTCTCCAAGTGCTTCACCTGCACGGTGTGCATCCTGGAGAGGACATCCACGTTGTTGGTGGCAGTGCTCGCAAAATCCAGCTCGAACTCGCTGCTTACATTATCATGAACGCGCCTTCCTTGAACCGTGTACTCATTGACACCCGCCCCCACCAGCAGAATATAGTCCACGCCGAGCAACAAGAAGATGAAGAAGAAGAATCCAGGCTGCCACATCAGGTCGATGCTGATGTCTCTGGAGCTAGGATGGAGTTGGAAACCCATCTACAATCCCACTCTGCCAGCCCCCATATTCACTTCACTTATCTATGACAGATAAATTGTCATCATATCGATACGAGGTGAAGAAGAATTAGAAGAAGGGTTATGGTTTTCCGTCGTGTAAATGAAATCTTTACTGCCATGTGAATGAATGTATACCACGAATCAAATACATTTAGAGATTTTAGTCCATTGTTAGAGGATTCAAAGGGAGCAGAAAGGTTTTGCGTTTTGTTTGCATACAGGCAGAGAGGAGTGCTGTTGTCGAGTGGACAGTGCTCTTTCTGTGATTGACTATACCATCTCATACCTTTTTACCTTACATTAATGGAAATTGATCCATTGTTTTCTTTTACTTCCTTGTGATCCCGTAACCACATTCATTCCTTACTCATAGCTGCAGGGAGGGATGTTGCAAGGAGGGTTCTCCAGGAGGTGAGATTCTCTCCTTTTTTCTCCTGATTAAGGAGTTGAATAACAATTCATTATCCCGCGTCATAGATTATGGCATGATGATTTGTGACCATCAGTTCACGTCATGAGTATTCTGACAGTTCTCATCGCGATCTCTGTTTCTTTCGGCAGGAGGTAACGCGTGTGCGATCCATGGAAATTGCTGCAACCTAGACCCTGCTTTGCTTACAGCTGAGTACCTAGAGCAATTGACTTGATGCTGGCTGCGCAGTTCCACAAACATTGTTTTCGAATCCCACTTGTGGCAAAGATTCGGCTGAGTTCTCTTCTCTTCCTGGGATACTGCAGGACTCTACGGAGGAGGTTGTACAACATAGTTTAGTTCTTATTATTTTTCCTTTTTCTTCCTTTTTTCATTTAAAATGATTGAGAAATTCAAAATTTGTTCTCGTAGTGATTATTGGTTAGATTGATTGTTACTAGTAGTCGATTGCTGTTCAATCTGAAATTGGATAGATGAGGATTATTGTCAATAGAATGTGGAAGTTTAGTATCGAAACAACTTGTAACTCGAGAAATTACAAAGAAGACGAGAAAATTATATTTCATTATCTTTCATAGAAAAAGAAGAGAAATAAATCATGCCCAATATGTAATTTCATGTACCAAACTCAAGGGTTTGGTATGATGAAAATCAATATTTCATGAAAATGTCAATACAAAAGTACGGATTTCCATGGGACCAAGCTCGACAACCTGAATTAACGCATCAACGGGGCCACCTCTAACCGGTGCCGTTTCATCCCCACCGTCTCCTTCAACCTTCCAACTCAACCTCTTCATTCCAGACTTCTCCTGGTTTGCTGATAAACTCATTTCTTTCACTTCCTTTATCTGCCAACAAAATTTTGTTCATTACACATACAAACAAACAATTATTAACCCCAAAAATCTTGGTGGGTTGTTTTGAATGTGATCCACACACGGTACCTCTTTCCCGGTAAACATCTTCTTCAGTTTAACTTTGGCCACTGTCGAATATGCAGCATCCTCTCCAACCTGAAAACCGCAACAAGAATTAAGACTGCAATTCAAGTTGAAAGAGGGCAACTTCTTTTTCCTAAATTCAGTTGGTTCACCTCGTAAAGATGAGCTAAGCGGAGCAGCACAGTTTGATCATCCAGCTCCTGCAACAGTTCCCACCATCAGATATCACCAGACAGTAGGAACATGTGATTCGGGTTAATTAATACGCGATGATGATCGTGTCGAATGAGGTTACCTCTAGGGTGATCAAAGCAACATTGAGCGGCAGGCTATATCCTGCATTCATCATAGTTCCTGACGTCGAATGAGAGGCTTTCCATGTCTTCTCATCCTGTAAAGCGCATTGACATTACTTGTTTCCTTCTGTTGACTGGAAAAAATGGAGGCGAGGCAAGCAATGATGCAAATGAACTCTTTCTATACCTCGTGCGTGAAGGCTAAAAGCAGCGGCGAATAGATCTCTTGCCCAGTTGTTCTTCGCCAGGCTGCTCCACCACCTAACTTGTTGATGCTCACATAGTAGTTTCCACGAACCTATGAAGCAAATGAGCAGAGAATGTGACTGTATTAACAACAATGGAAAAGTACCAGATTATTGATTCAGGAGCTGTGATGTGCTGTTTTTACGTACAGTTAGTCCTTGGCAAGACTCTCCAACGCAGACTTGTTCGTCAAGGGGCTCGCCAACACCTCTGCCGTCATCTTGTAGAATTCGCCTTCAATCCAACAAGAAATATATAGAGGCAGCAGTGAGTTTCTGTCTCTAGTAGTAATAGCTAGTGTGGAACATATGTATAACAAATTATGAGGCGGGGACCTGTGCAGCATGAGTTCTATTTCACCATCGTTGATGCTGGCTCCCCCGGTGGCACGATCAACCAGGACAGACAATTCGGATTTCGAGTCAGTGATGAATGTTCCCAGGTTAAGCTGGATACACATGATTCGGAACATCAATCAATTCATGAATGTACAAGAAGTAATGAACTTGTTCTGATCATGATTTAAAAGAAGGAAGTAGTATTACTGGATAATAGTTTCCAGCAATAGGTTGGTTGACAGACAGGTTCCAGTCATTTCTCTGATCATATACCTGCATGCAGTTACCTCTTTAATACGAACACAAATCGAGGGTCGATGGGAATTAATAAAGGGAGAAATTTCTGATGTTGTAGATAATTACCCTCTTCATGAAGTCTCTTCCATTAGAGTCGGTATAGGATGTTTTATTTGTCACCATGTCTGTTGTCATCTTTGTGATAACTTCTTTTCCTATGTTGTCATCAGTTGGGATAGGGCCAATCTTCAGAAGAAACAATAGACATTCAGCTGAATTAACCAGGCAGAGAAAAATATACAGTAAAAACTATACATTGCAGATGAGCAAGGAATAACTCCACTGACTGTACAAAATGAGGATGCAGTAACAGCTTACAGTGTATTCAATTTCTGCATGTTGTTTGTCTTTGTAAAGTCTTGTAACCTGAGAGGAATAACACCAGTGTCGTCAAATCACATTTTTTACTTGGATTGGATGCTACCATATGTGATTTGAGGTTTGTCCATGTCATGGCGAAATTCAGAACCTGGTAGATCCATGGACTGAATTGCTGGTGCACTTCATGAACTAGCGGTCCACGAAAGACATCGAGCTTGACCTGCAAATTCGAGATCGAGTATTGGCTCAACTTGATTTGTGCAGCAGAGTAGGAAAAGAGATTCATATCGTTTCTTCGATCCATCAAACTTACTGATTGTGCAACAATGGTAGGTGTATTAGAGTCGGGCCGGAAAATGTAGGCACCGGAACTTTGCTGCATGAATAAAAAAGTTACTGCAACGTCAGCAAACATGATGCTGGAGTAGAATGATTGAATGAAATCAAGCTGAGAAGCAAATTTGATATACCTGGCTGTCAGTACTTGATGTATACCAAAGATAGCTTTGCTGTATTGGTGTATCCACCTGACAAAAATATGTTAATTGTTTTTGGATCTCTGTTAGAATCTGAATATCACATCTAGTGAATGTAAACCACTTACTTACCCCTGTCACTTTATTAAACATCCGAGTGAGCTGGCCGGAAGCTGAAGAAAACAACATCTTCAGATTTCCAGGTCCAATTTCGACCACTTCATCAACAGCAGTGTCCTTCAAAGAGTTATTGTCACTGTATGTCCTTTCTGCTGCGTGAGAGTATAGGCACAGAGACAAATTAAGAGGCAAAAACAAAAAAGAGCTAGTATAGCAAGTAACTAGCCAGGCAATGGTAACAAGGTGTGATATTTTTATTACCAGTCTTGGGTTCCTTGGAGATGAAGTAAGTTGCCCAACCAAGAGGAGGCACGGTTACTTGGAAGACAAGCCAGTTCTGAGGACCTTGGTTGGATGACTGCCCTGTGTATGCCTTGAGGTAAAAATTTCTCAAGTCACTAGTGACTTTGTCCACGGGTACGAATTGTGATTCAATGGCTTTCCCAAAGGAATCAGTCACAACAAGGGAAGAATCATTGACCTGTGGAAGTAATCATGGAAACCTTATGATATCCAGTTGATGTCTAGGTCTTTGTTTGCCAACTTAGATGAAACCACTCCCTTCTTGACTTACCGGAATTCTAATTATATCGGTTCGATTCCATCCAAGGGGGTTATATACAACAACCACCTAAAACTCAAAGGAAGATACATGTATAAGATACAGGATACCAAATGCAGGACACTGTGGGGAAAGCTGAACATATAAATCTGAACTTACTAGTGGCTTCGAGCTTCCCCCTTCGGTTGATGGACAATAACTGATGTTCAACAATTGACACTGAGGGAAAAAAAAAATAACGATTCTATCAAAGAACGGTTTGAAAAGAAAGCAACCTGGAACACAAAAAAAAAAAAAAAGGGCTAGAACGACTGCCGACCTTAAAAGGGAGGAACACAACGAAAGAAAGATTACCTGGCTGAATGTCGTATCTTGGGAGCCTCCACATTGACCTTTGATTTTGTTACTGACTAAGCATGAAAATGCAGAACTAACAGTGGCCTCTGCCTGCAAAATATAGTTTTGAGTTGAGAACATAACACACCATAGAATTTTGATGTGAATGATGCAAGTCATGAAACAGTAGTTTGATAGATTCAAAAGACATGTTTGCAAATTTTGTATAACAGCTAGAGAACGAACCTCAGTGGCACCGATAGCCAGACGTTTGGCATAGTCATTAGTGGTGTGTTGTTTGGCAGTGCCAGAAACAGCATCATGATGCTGAGCTACCCCTAAAGCATCTCCAAGCTTGGAAGTGTTGGGAGCAGTTTTGTTCTTCCCAGCCAAGAACTCAACTTGTCTTGCAGCCTGGTTCATGGAAGAAGCACCAAAAGAAAAAGAAAATTTGTCTGGTTACTGCATCAAAAGAGATAATTTTGTAAGAGTTTTGCATGAAATAAGGCTCAATACCAAGTAGTATCCACTGAGCTGCCGCACAAATCTCTTGAATCCAGGGCGGCTGGTAAAGTAGCCAGTCCAATAGGCATTGTCTCCATCAGCATATCTGCCCCACAATCAGCCCCAAATCAAATTTGTTCAAAAATGGTTCTACCAGGAGAATTAAGAATTCAGTTTCCAGAATTAGTTAGATGTGCTCAGCGCTTGCTGTGCTTACGGGAAATAATCATCGGTTTTCAGCGGCCAGGACTCATTTGCTGCATTTTTCGCATCGGTGTAGATAGATGGCGTGGAGTACAAGGCATTGATTTCTCCATCCTGATAAACACGTTCCATAAAAGACAGCTCATGAAGGAACTGGTAGATGTGGAAGAAATGTTTCTAAATGGTCTTTTCCATCTCTCTCTCTCTCTCTACCTTGTTGACATATTTAATGAACTTGTCCATTTGCCTGAACCATGACTCAGCAAATTGGTACTGGAAATCATCTCCCATTGTCCACATTATGTGGTTTGTCCTTGTCACATTGGCCTGCAATGGTAGATGCCAATTCATTTTTTTTTTCTGTACTAAACAACACCTTTGTTCTCTTCTTCCAGCCAATTTGATCCTAACTGAATATAGACAAAACCAACATGCATACAGAAATACGAGTTGCTTCCAACTAGAGTTTCCTTACCTGTGCTTTGGCTGCATCCACAAAGTCCTTAACGCGTTGATCGACGTTATAGTCGAAAATAAGAGGATCATCCTGCAATTAAATCATCAAAAATAAAACTAAAATGAGCAAGCAGAATTAGTTAAATGGTGGATGTTAATTTGGAGAGTGCCTTGGAGAAGAAGCAATTTAATAACCTGGATAGGAATGTCTTCATCGCCAACTTCAAAATGGAAACCTTGAGGTGGGGCATAATGGACTGGGAATGCATTGGCAAATATCTGCAACAAAGGGCAGGTAGTAAACAACAAATAAAAAAAATAAAAACAATTGTTCTTGTTTTACTATGTCTAAAACGAAACAAGGTCGAATGCTCGGTAGAACCTGCGACGAGGAACCAAAAGTATTTGAGCCACGCCATATGACTTCCAGAGACTTGTCGCCTTTCCTCTTCACTCTATCTTGATAATCAATCCTTGCAAAATGTACAGAATCGAATCCAACCTGCGACATAACAAAATGCCGGTCAGACAAAACGTCGGTATAAGAACCAGTCTAAGATCTAAGGTGACAACAAATAATAATAGAGTGGAAGTACCTCAGCTCCAAGGAGATAGGCCTGGACCGCAGAGTGACCAAACGGATCGATTTGCCAACCAGCTCGAGGCGTGCTGTTGAACTCGGCCTTAATCATCCGATGCCCGAGGGTTGTTTGATCAATCATGTCTATGTAATGCGTTGCAGCTTCATCGTGCATGCACCAACCACCATTTCTGCTCGCAACCCCACAGTTACATAGACCGATCAGCTTAGAGTAAATACGAATTCAAAACTTCAGCTGCGCAGTCTGCAATACATACACGAATTCTAGTTGCCCGGATTTCACTAGTTTCCTCACTATGTCTTGTGTCGTCGTGGTCTGCTCGCGCCACCAGCGATTGAAGAAGGCCTGAACACAACAACATTGCAAGAATTCAGGGGAAAAAAACAACATGCACACAGACCAACATTTAATCTAACACTTGTTCTTGTTTTTTGGTCCTTTTTTTCTTTTTCATTTCCTCTCTAGGTACCATTTCAGCGAACACAAACTTCCTGCTGGGATCCTTGAGCAGGGCAGTGATGACAGAATCCAGCACGTTCTGAACGCTGGCATTCTGATCCAGTAAAAGATTAATCAGAACGAGTCCAGAACTCCAAGTATTAGTAATTCATTGGGAGATAAAAACAAGAGGGTGGGGGAAGACCTGAAGTGTGTTATTTGCGCCCACATAGTACTGATCAATGGTCTTCAACCACCCAACGTCGTCGTGCGAATGAGGAACCAGATGAACGTTAAGTCTCCCTTCCACAATTCCTCCACCACCATTGTTGTACTTGCGAAAACCATCAGCTACTACTGTTTCAGATAGAATACAGGCAGCAGCCAGAAGAAGAAAAACAGAGAGAAATACCCATGTCAAGCTCAACCTCCCCTGTTTTCTCATCGCATATATCAAGACTTTCAGACAAATTTCGAGAAGACTTGGCTGGCAGGTTGTGAAATTACCAAGTCTGCTCCTTTATATAGGTTGCCAAGGCAACGGGTAAAGTTGGGGAATGGAATTTGGAAAGGTAAGAGGGAGTTGGCCGTCATCTTCTTGGGTATCTTCGTCGGATTTTTCATCATTGGCCTTCCTCCTGTCCACATGATTTAGTCCGTCAGTGATAACAACTGGATTTAAATGTGACAAGAAAGTAACAGCTCATTAGAATTCAATATCGGTTTCTGTCTGTGGATGGGTGTGTTTTTTCTAAGTTGGGTTAACATGTTTGCACGTGGTGATGCCTTGGGGTGTTTTGCTCTGTGTTTAACTGTTTATGCAATGTGCTTTCTGAGTATGGCGGCCATTGTTGCTGTGGATCAGTTGATTCCCCACTGCGTTTTTTCTCTCTTCTTAGTGTTAGTGGATTGCTTTCTTTTGTTTTTTCTATTGTAGGTGGGTAGTTGTTTCACTGTTAGCTTTGTACCTCTTCCCCTTTGTTTTAATGGAAAAAGGCAGTTAGGTTAACATGACACTGACCATCGTCCATCGCCCCAATTTATTCCCAACGTTGTAGTTGGGGGAAGATTTTAATTTTATTAATGGTGTGTTTGGATAGAATGATTTGGATTTCTAAATCTCAAATAATGTGTTTAGATTTTAATTATATTTGGTATTTGGATTTGTGTCAAATTCATGGGGTGATTTCCAATACATTTCAACAACTAGTGATTGGAAATACCTCCTAACAAAAGATTGGACCTATTTGTAAAATATTAAAAGTTTAGGTACTATAATGTGAGATAAAAACATTTAAAGGTACCAAAAAGTAATTTTATCATCAAAATTTCTGGACTTTTTGTAAAATTTGAAAAGTTTAGGTACTAAATTGTAAAGAAATATAAATTTGGGTACCAAACTGTAATTCACCAAAATCTGTAGTAAGTGACGAAAAAGCTCAAAATTAAAATAAAAAATCATGGAATTTAAAATACAAACAAAATACAAATGAGTATCCAACCAACGAATTTGAATTACATGTATTTCAAATGCTAGTACTTCAAATGCATCCAATTTAAAAAATGTAATTCTAATACCTTACATTTGAAATACACCTATCCAAACGCACCCTAGGTGATTCCTATTTGAATCTCCATGGAAGAGAAGGCGGCCATAGAGATGTCGGAGATCTATCCATGTTCTTTTTTCTCATTGAAATGGATTCTTGAGCCGGTTGTCCCGTTTGTTCGGTTATGACGGTTAACCGCTCAAACCTTTAACTAACTGTCCGACTATCCACATATGGCTGAATAACTAATTCAAATTGCTTTTGTGACTGGGTCTCGATTTTACCGAGCGGATCGATTCGGTTTTGATTTTAACATTTGGATCGATTCAGTTTGATTTTAACATTCGGTATGAGATTAATCTAGCGAAGCATAAAGCATGAGAAAGCATTGTTCGAACTTAGGCTCAAGAGTGATGATTGCACAATGACGGTAAATCTTTTCTAAAAAATGCATATAACAGATTAGTGTAAAAATTTTATTTATAAACGGTCAGGTTAAAAATGTATTTAAGAAATTGAAAAGGGGCGGAGTAGGGAACAATAAGAAATACACATTCAAATTCACCAGACATGCGTCAGCATCCTACCGGTCGGTTGAACCGGTACAATCATCAAATCGACTAGAAAGGTATTGATTTTCAGTATTAATCAAATCTGTTCAAAATAAGAAAAACAGATCATATAGAGCATAAATCGAATTTCAGTATGTTTTACGCACATCTTCCAAAAATAAATGCTCGTTGTGAAATTTGAACTAAGTACTCTATGTTTACTAGTTTCAATCATACATCAATAGGTTATGTGTTACCCGAAAAAATATTTTTGTAATACATTGATAAAGTATCATTTTATGTACTGAATTAACTAGCTTCTTCCTAACCGACATGACATTAAACCAGTATGACAACATTGCAACTAGAATAACCCATTCACTACAACAGTGAATAGGCTAATTAAACATTTTGCATTGGGCAATTACCAGAGTGCTGAAAAGTGTTGTTCTAATTGCCCTTAGTGGCTCTTCTAATATTACGAGTCCGTTAAGCTACAGACCTGAGATATTTACGGAACAAGACACTTGTGACAATGCGAACTTCACATCAGCCGCTCTTGTGTTTTGGTCAAATAGTTTGGCAGTTGGCCCGTTAATATATGGGAGAGGATGCATATGATTGCCAGTCATCCCACCGATGTGGTAGCTTAACTTCAAAAGGCAACTTTTTCACTTCATCACCTTCCCACCACCACTTAACACTTTGCATTAGCGCACAGAGCAACCCATCAGCGGGAAACCAAAAGCCTTTCTTCTGCTATATCAAAGATGTAACATCTATTTGGATGAAATCTCAACACACACAAAAAAAATATAGAAATTATGACCCAACGCTTCTACTTTCAGAAACAAGTCACAATTGAGAGCTCTGCATCCATGGATCGAAACGAGATGTTGAGTTATCGAAGTTCGAGTCGAGACTAATGCAACAATTTGCATCGTCGCGAGCAGTCTCTTTTAACTTTTTACCCGACTTTGTGGCGACTTATCATCCTCATCCGGATTGGGAGTTTTTCCCTCAACAATGTTAGCCAAACCTTCAATGAATGTCATACCATAGCTAAAACGGAAGAACAACCACTAGAAAACATTTGCAAGTGATTAATGGATCCTAATGCGGACAAATTGTAATTAACTATAGAAAATGCTTGACCGAAGTTTGAATGGCATATGTTGTTCCCCGGAAGGAAACATATAATCATGTTGTTCATAAAATTATGCTAAGGTTATATGTTTACACACATTTCACTAGATCCATCAAACCCTCAAGAAGCCTGAGTGGCTCGTAACATAGCGAGAGAACTCCACTGAAGTTTGGACTGGTTTATTGGTGCTGGCATTTCAGCAACGTGCATGATCAGAACAAATTGCTTCCTTCCTGAATACCCCTGATACTACAGGTTGCGGAAGTGTCTGAGTGAGTCATGAACGGACCCAATATGATGGGTTGCTACTAGTACGTACTTATAAGACATAGATTCCTGGGACAAGAAGCTGAGCGTTGCCGATGTGGTAATCAATCAGAACAAAGGGCTCGGTCACATTTTGGACTTTGATGGTATATATGAAATCTCAATGTGGTGATTGTTGAATGCCAGTGCAGGCGGAACTTGCTTTGATGATCCAAGACCTAGACGTTGAGTTAGTGTAGTGAATTTGACACGCACTGAAGCAAAAGGTTCGTGCTTGGTTCTGAGTTTGATGTTGTGTGTGCATTTGGTTGGTGATGGATTGTGCATATATTGGAATCCACTGTGGCAGAGTCGTGGAGAGCTGAAGATGGGATGCATGGATCCATCTCCCAACAGATTAGGGTCTTTTCATATAAACGTCGGTAGAAGATTGACTGAAATTTGAGGTGAAAAACTAAACAATTGGTAAACCGTATACAAATGACATATCGAGAGTTAATATAAATAGCACACTCGCTAAATATTGATATTTGTAGTGGCATTAGACCATTCACATCCATAAAATACCATTTCTATTTCGTATGTGCTACTGTCACATCAACAACTTTTTCCATTCCACTACATATCACTTTCATTTCCAAATCCACTATCTATTTCATATGGTGGGTCCAACTTATTTTTTAATACAACTATAATTAAAATAATATATTTTAATTATTTAATTACCAATAATGAGATAATGTTACTAATTCATTGAAAAATACATTATAGCTTTAATCATTGATTAAAAAATAAATGATCGTTGATTTGTTATGTAATTTGTATTTGGTTGTAGGTGTGATATCTTTACATTTATATAAGCGTACGTGAACTTTATTTTCGTATTACACTTTCAGAATCTACATGATTAATTAAGTGAACGGCTATTTGCCGCCAAGCAAATTGCTATTTGCCGCCAACAAAAAAAAAGAAAAAAAATTTGAATTCAAATTTTGAATTTTCCCTCCCTTCCCTTCCTTTCATTCTATAAATTCGGATACCCATGAACATTTGACTCATTCCAACAAAAACTTCTGTTGACGAGCCCAGTGCCTCCGTCGCCGGCACCGTTCTTCCATCGTCGGCTAACCTCCCGTCGCCCTCAATCGTCGGAAAACAAGTAAGTTTATTTTTTCCGGCCAGTTTTCCAGTTTTCCGGCAAGTTTTCCAGTTTTCCGGCAAAAAACAGGGCGGGCCGAAAAAAATTTGCGGCCGGAGCGTCGGCCGGCCGAAAAAAATTTTCGGCCGGTCGACGACCTCGCCGCCCAAAAAATTTCCGGCGGCGTGTTCGTCGGCCGGCCGAAAAAAATTTGCGGCCGCTGCGTCGCCGGGCCGAAAAAAATTTGCGGCCGCTGCGTCGCCGGGCCGAAAGAAATTTTCGGCCGGCCGTCGCACCGGCCGAAAAATTCTTTCGGCCCGGCGACGCCACGGCCGCAAAATTTTTTTCGGCCGGCCGACGCTCCGGCCGCAAATTTTTTTCGGCCCGGCGGCGCACCGGCCGCAAAATTCTTTCGGCCCGGCCAGTTTTTGTATTTAATTTAATTTAATACGATAATTAATTAATAAATAAATAAATACTTAATTGGTTAGTAGAAATTAGCAATTAGTGTTAATATTTATTTCAGTTGGTTTATAAATGTTTTTTTTTGTAATAGGCGTTTGAATGTTTAATTACTTAGATTAGTTAATGGAATTTTAATTAATTAAGAATTGATTTAACAATTAATGTTAATATTCAGTACATTAGTTAATAGAAATTTAATTTAATTTCTTTCGGCCCGGCCAGTTTTTGTATTTAATTTAATTTAATACGATAATTAATTAATTAATAAATAAATACTTAATTGGTTAGTAGAAATTAGCAATTAGTGTTAATATTTATTTCAGTTGGTTTATAAATGTTTTTTTTTGTAATAGGCGTTTGAATGTTTAATTACTTAGATTAGTTAATGGAATTTTAATTAATTAAGAATTGATTTAACAATTAATGTTAATATTCAGTACATTAGTTAATAGAAATTTAATTAATTTGTGATTAATTAACAATTGATGTTAATATTACATTAGTTAATAGAAAATTAATTAATTAGTGCGCATCTAAGTATGATATTTTGTAAATTTGTAGATAATTAGATATGGATGATGCGGGTCATGCGGGTGGGGATGAGTTGAATAGATTCAATGGTAGGGTTGTTGATGTATCAGCACGAAGGAAGAATAAGGAGAATAAGCGTTCTCGAGATATTGGACATCAGTCACAGGCAAATTTAGGGGTGGATGAGTTAGAGGCTCCTACTGTAGTTGCTCGTTCGGCATCACGGGCGTCTGGTTCCCATGGGAGGAACCAGGGTGCTGCATCCAGAGTGGTCTCGGCTGAGTTTGATGAGGACGATAGTGATGAGGATATCGAGGTCCCTACTTGTTGTTGTTGTTGGGGTCCACTTTGTTTGTGGACAAGAGTAGAGACAGGGTTCGGTCGGTGGTGAACCTATTTTTGGACGAGTTGGAGGAGTTAGATCAGTATAGTTGGGCGTCAGGTACACTTGCTTGGTTGTACAGATACCTTGGTCAGGCGTCTCGTGCTGGTGCCAGGGGGATGGCTGGTTGTCTCACACTTCTGCAGTGTTGGATCTACGAGTACTTTCCGGGTTTCAGGCCATCTCACTTCGAGCCTACCGCCGTTGGACCTGATGATGCTTGGGCTTCACGATGGATTGGGCAGCCGGCACCTGGTTCTGTGGCGGATCCCAGTGTGAGGTTGGCGTTCTACCGTCGAGCTCTTGACAGCTTGACCCCTTCTGATGTGTTTTGGACACCTTTCCATCAGAGGCCTCATCAGGCAGTGCGTCGCTCTTTGTACACTGGAGTCATCCGGTTCGCTGACATAGGCGAGTTCTACGATCCAGCCCGTTGCCTCCGACAGTTTGGATATGTTCAGATAGTACCGCCTGCCCCTTCGCGTCCTCAGCGAGCAGACCGACCAGAGGCACCTGGTGGATATGTCCTTCGGATTCCTGAGAGTTTTGATGCTCCATGGGATGCTCTGCTATCCCACATGGTTCATATAGACATGTACTCTCGGCCGTGGACGACGTATCCATATGAGACTACGAGAGACTATCTTGACTGGTTCGTGGCGCACTCTCATTGTAGAGTCCTACGGGATGATGAAGAAGCAGATCGACTTATTGACTCCGCAGCGGTAAGATTTGACCATTATATCGTTACTCTATTATAAATATACTTAGCATGAAACTAAAAATTGTTCTTGTTTCTTTTTTATGCAGCGTGGTCGCGACCTTTTGTACACGTTTGCACCTGCGGTTCGAGCAGCAGCAGGGACCGAGGAGGAGTTTCTTGAGCATTATCGACGAGCCTACAGGGCACTGCACGGAGTGCAGGATGTGTGGACTGAGTACTGGGCTTCTCAGGGACTCCCCCCTCCTCCAGGGGATTTTTAGTTGTTTTGATGTTTCCATGTTTGACTACTTATGTATGTTTGGATCGGATGTTTATGTTTAGACTGCATGTTTCCATGTTTGTGTGTTAGATCGGATGTTTGACTACTTATGTATGTTTGGATCGGATGTTTATGTTTAGACTGCATGTTTCCATGTTTGTGTGTTAGATCGGATGTTTGACTACTTATGTATGTTTGGATCGGATGTTTGTGTTTAGACTGCATGTTTAGGGTCATTAAAGATACAACTAGAACATAATGAAATCCATAAGTTCATAATGACACTAGGGTCATTAAAAATACAACTAGAAAACCCTCCTGAGTCCAACTCCATGCAGCTTTGTCGAAATATTTCTTCCATACCGCATGTGCTACCTCTCTTTTTGCAATTCCACCAAGTAACACTTCAAACTTTTGCTTCACACAGTTGTTGACGTGCCATAAACATAGTAGGTGGACAGTATGTGGGAGAGGGAAGACCACAGGAATAGAAGCAAGCAAACCACCTTCTTTGTCTGTCACAATGACATTCGGAACCGTATCACCGAGCAACCCTTTAATACATCGCAGCAGCCACTCATATGTTTCCTTTGTTTCCTGCTTAATAATTGCACATGCAATGTTGAAATTCTTCTTCACTGGAGTAACCCCAATAATCTCAACCCATGGCCAGCCGTACCTGTTGGTCTTGTAGGTCGAGTCAATGAGGATGACGTACGGCCATGCATGCAACATCTGAATGGACGTCGGGTGCGCAAAAAACAGATTAGTGAGCACATTATTAGAGTCCTTTTGCAAACAGATATGGTACCCACGATGTTCAGCTCCGTGAAGCGCAAACTGTATCGCATCCATTTCACCCATCTCATCCAATCTTGTCTTGGAATTTATGTTGTACATCTGTTTGATATCATGATGCACACCCCCTTCAGTATTGAGTGTCGTCTTCTGCTGATTTGGTCTCACCCCCGCCTTCCTCATTAATCTTAACCTCTCTTTTTCAGCCTCACTAAACTGTTTGTTGTGTCGGTGATGTTCTGGATACAACACCTTTTCATGGTTGTGAAACCCTCTATTAGCTCCGGTTTCACGACTTGTCACTCCCACCATGACCCATGTGTTTGGACCATCCTTTTGCCATACTTCCTTTATACATATCTGAAACTGGCAACCAGTATCCTTCGAACTAATATTCTCACGCGTCTCCTTCGTAGGGTCTGGTTTATAAGACTTAACGATCCTACTACTTCTGTCGCAATACATACAGAGGGCAGTAACAGGATTCTGTCCAGCAGTATTCGGTTTCCATGATCCTCTAACAATAAAGAACCCACACTGCTGAGCGATTGTTCTTGCAGCTAACTCAGCTAACTCCACACTTGCATAATGGATCCCATTCTCAAATTCATGTGTGTAATCATGATCGGCCGGTAACAACTCTGACATTTTTCCTACAATTACAATATAATATATCAATATTCCTGTGAACCTAAACGCTAATTTCAATTCTTAACCGCTAAATTCAACTCCTAAACTCTAAATTCAATTCTTACACGCTAAATTCAACTCCTAAACTCTAAATTCAACCCCTAAACTCTAAATTCAACTCCTAAAATCGAATTTTTCCGAAAAATTGCAAAAACAGACTGTGAGCCGAAAATTTCCGGTGGCCGGAACCTGGCCGGGCCGAAAATTTCCGGCGGCCGGAACCTGGCCGGGCCGAAAATTTCCGGTGGCTGGAACCTGGCCGGGCCGAAAATATCTTGCGGCTCAGCCTGGTTCCGGCCGCCGGAATTTTTCGGCTCGGCCAGGTTCCGGCCACCGGAAATTTTCGGCCCGGCCAGGTTCCGGCCGCCGGAAATTTTCGGCCCACCGTCTGTTCGTTTCAAATCGTCGGAAAAATTGTTCGAAACTACAAAAAAATTACGCACCTGCTTAGTGATGATTCATTGATGCGTGTACGCAGTATATGTCGAGGATAGGCTTTCCCGATGATTTTCCGGCGACTTTTCCGGCGAGCGTTGAATTTTTCTGATTCAATATGTTCTCTGAAAGTTGGATATGTTGTAGATTGTGAAACTCCTTACCCTACTATGTATATATATACTTTTTTTTTTTTTTGGTTGGCGGCAAATAGCAAGCCCCTTAATTAATCTAGACTTAATGAATTTTATAATTTATCAAGTTTGTTTATCTAAAACAAATGATCATTTGAAAAAAAAGGAAATGAAAATAAAAAGGAAAACAACATCATGTACACAAACATAAAAAAGGCCTTCCATTTTTATCATTTGTTGTTAAAAGTATAATTTCAAAACAAAATGGAAATGAAA